TGCCCCTGATCCTGCCACAGCACGAGGCACATCGGCTCCCGGGGGCACGGCCCGCCTGCGGCCCTCGCTCCCGGGGCCACGCTCCCGCACGGAGCGCGGCGGGCCCTCCGTCCCCAGCCCCGCCACCTCCTGGCGCCCGACGGCCTCGGACCCAGGAGCGCATCGGCCCTGGCATCAGGCCGGGCACGTCCCCCCACAGGCGATCGTTGGACGAAAAACTAAAAATAGCCAACAACACAAAACTATATATATATATATATATATATATATATTTATACATACGTGCATGTATGTTTGTATATATATATATATATACACAACAACTCGTTCCCTTCCTGTGTTTGCACTATATCTGAATGCTCCTCCTGTGGAGGGGCAGGCCCGACTTCACCCTGGCAGGCGAAGTGCGACCACAGACCGCAAAACCTGAGCATGACGGCGGGCACCGAGCAACCCTCGCGCTCGGCCAGACGGTCCATCGGTCTGCGAACCCAACAGTGGCTGGCGCCCGAGAACGGGGCCCTGAGATTGCCGAGAGATACAGGATACAGTCGGCCATGATTGGGCAGGGCACGCGAGAGGTCACAAGACGCTTCCGAGGGCCACATTGCCATGGGGCATGTGGGAGGCGTGGGTCGCGAGGCACCGGACACAAGGGTACCTAAGGGTACCCTTGATTTGGCAGGGTCGACCTCCTAATCAGGGCCGACTGTAAAGGATAAAGTCCTCTCAGGGTGGCCCGCGCGGGGCAGGGCTCAGGTGATGAACCTGGCATCCGACGCCCAGTCCACGAACTCGTCCCGGCGTTGCTGCCAGGGTTCCCCAGATGCCATCTCTACCCACGCGCCCCAGTCTTGCTCAGCACAGAACCGCTTGATATTGTCCTCGAAGCGCATCTGTCTGCGGCACGACGGTCTCCGCAGATGCAGTGCGCCGAGCTCACTGGCGGCAGCCTGCCATTCAGACTGCCGGGCGAATATCATTCAGCGGAGCAGCGAGAGAGATTGCGAGCGCTTCTTTGTTTGGCGTTTCGACATTGGGCAGCAGGGGGGGGAGGGGGGGGTCTGGCCTGAGACCTCCGCTTAATGCGACTCTTTGCAGGAGTGCTGCCTCTGGGGGGAGCTTCCGCCCGCTCGAAACAAGCGCCGAAAACACGGGGGGGAAGAGGGGTTGCTTTGGACGCCCGAAATGGGTACGGAAAAACGGGTACAATGCCCAACAACAAATGTTGTCCCAAACCAACAGCGGCCGCTGTTGGGCAGGCGGCCTTCTTGTCTCGAACGGACACAGGCCGCGGCGGCGCGGACAGCGAGTCCTGTTCAAAATGAACAGGAACTGCTGTTGGGCATTGTACCCATTCTTTCCGTACCCATTTCGTTCGTGCCGAAAGACGGGGGGGGAGGAGGGGTTGCGAGGGCCCGCGCCGATCGGCAAAACGCTGAATAAAAAACTATCACCTTGGGTTAGGTCGAGCCTGTCCCCCTACAGGGGGAAAATAATCAAGAAATCGTCCCCAGACTACTTTTTTTAATACCATTTTTGAAAATTCCTCCTGTGGAGGAACAGGCCCGACTTCAAACTATCACCTTGGGGCTCGTGGCTCGGTGCCTGGCTCTCGGGATTCGGTGCGTGCTCTCGCTCGCCACCCTCACCAACGCCCCGTCCATCCCCCCCCCGCAGCGCGCGCACACCCTCCCCGGCCTCCACTGCCTCCTCTGCTCTGTCTCTCTTCCTCCTCCTGCTCTCGGCTGCAGGTAAGGATGACCCTGGGTAAGAGTGACCTGTGGTGCGCGGCTTTCCTGGGGGCGCGAGGAGGCCAAACACAAGCGCGCAAGACGCTAATATCGCAACGAGCGCGGCGATCGGGGGACCCCAGTGAGCGCGCACCAAAGGTCACTCCGGCGAAGGGTCACTCTTACGTCTAGTCGATGCTCTTAGTTCGGGCATTTCCCCCTACAGGCGGGTGTTGGACGAAACATTACAAGTAATCAGTCAAACAAATAATCGACTAAAATCGTCCCTGGACTAGTTATTTTATTATGCCTGAGTATTTCTCCTGTAGGGGGACACCCTGCTCCCGAGTCGCCTCCGCCGCATCGTTCTCCTCTCCCCCCATCGCCATCCGACCATACTTCTGTGCACCTCCTTGTCTTTCCTTCCCCTCCCTCTCCCGCCCTGGTGCGTCCTCAGGTCGAGGCTGACCGGCCCCGAGGCGCCGTTGAACCGGGCGGGAGTGTGGAGCAGCTGGGAGAACGAGCCGCCCTCCACCTTCGGGGCCGCACCGTGGGCCCCTCGGGCGCTCACGCTCCCGAGCGCCCGCGGAACAGATGTGATACCCCCCCTCTCGCTTAGAATTCGGGGAACGAGCAATGACAAAAACATAAAAACTCAGAGGTCCGCGCAGATTGCCGGGATCGGCACTGGATCCCCCTCCCTGGCGCGCAGAGCGCGCCAGGGGCGGCGCTGGAGGCGCCGCCAAGGGGCTCCAGCGCCGATCCGAAAAATCCTCGCGGACCTCCGAGTTTTATGTTCATGTCATTGTTCGTTCTCCTAGAAATGGGTCATGCCAGAGTGAAGGTTTGATACACGGGCACCGTCGTGACACAATGTACTTCGCGCGAGGGCCACTGTCGTATGTTACGATGTGACACCATGCAAAGGAGACAACGTTCACGGCACACGCACAGCACAACGTGGCAGGCAATGACCCACATGTGCGACCAGTCAGGACGTCCGAACAGCGTCGACAACGCAGAAACAAGATCCTGGCGAAGGGCCCAGCCATCTGCAGGCCTGAGTACCGCAATGCAGGTGGGCCAAGGGAGGGGAACCCCCCTGAGAGGTCACGAAACGTGTGAGGGGTGTGCCGAAACTTCGCGCGGCACCGCCACACGAACATGCCCCACTGGGGCACTCGCTGGGATTCCCCATGGGGCCACGAAACGTGTGAGTGGTGTGCCGACATGATCCGAAATTGAAGCGGCGCCGCAATACAAACTTACCGCTGAGGCGGCGGCGCTCCGCATGGGGCCAGAGGCGTGCGAGGGGCTGCCGGCGTGGGTGCGGCGCCGCCATGCACCAGGCGAACTTCCCAGCGGGGGCCTTCGGCGGGGCTCGCCATAGGGGCCATAGAACGTGGGAGGGGTGTGCCGAAATAAAGGAGGTCGAGGAGGGGGTGGAGGAGGCGAGGGAGAGGAGGAAGGAGGAGGGAGAGGGGGAAGGAGGAGGGAGAGGAGGAAGGAGGACGAGGGAGAGGAGAGAAGGAGGGCGAGGAGGGTAGGAAGAGAGAGGAGGACGAGGAGGAGGAGGAGGAGGAGGAGGAGGAGGAAGAGGGGAGGAGGGAGAGGGGAGAGGGGAGGAGGGGAGAGGGGAGGAGGGAGAAGATGGGAGAGGGGGGGAGGGAGGGGAGAAGGAGGAGGGGAGATGCGGGGCGCTGCGAATTCAAAACGAGGACCCGATACCACGGGATGGCTGTGTAGCACAGTCTTCGAGCCTAGATGATCCTCCTCCTCCTCCTCGTCCTCATCCAACTCCTCCTCTTCTCCCTCCTCCTCCTGCTCCTCTCCTCCTCTTCCTCCTCCTCCTCCTCCTCCTCCTCCAACTCCTCATGCTCCTCCTCCACTTCCTCCTCCTCCTCCTCCTCTTCCTCCTCCAACTCCTCATGTTCCTCCTCCGACGTTGCGCGTTCGCGGTGTTCTTGGGCCGCGTCGGGCCGCCCGTACACGCCCCAAGAGGCAACGCAGACTCAAGCAGCAGGCTGCTCACCTAACGAGGCGCAAACATGTCATCGGTAATACATGTCCATATACACATATCTATATACATACATACATACATACATACATACATACATACATACATACATACATACATACATACATACATACATACATACATACATACATACATACATACATACATACATACATAGATACATATATCCATACATACATACATGCATACATACATGCATGCATGCATACATACATACATACATACAAACGTGCATACAACCATACACACATACATACATACATACATGCATGCATGCATACCTACATACATGTATACGTACGTGTATGCATGCATGCATGCATGCATGCATACATGCATGCATGCACACATACATGCATACATACATCCATCCATACACACATACACACATACACACATACATACATACGTACGTACAAACATGCATACATACACACAGACATACATACGTATAACTATACATACACACATACGTGCACACATACCAACCTACATGCATACACGCATGCATACATGCATACATACAGACATGCATGCACACACACGTACATATATACATGCAGGCAGGCATGCATGCATGCGTACGCACGTACGTACATACATACATACAAGCATGCATGCATTCACGCATACATGCATGCATACGTACATCCGTCCGTCCGTCCATCCATCCATCCATCCACACATCCACACTCGCATACATATATACATGCATGCATGCATGCATACATACATTGGCATGCAGACATACCTAGATGCATGCATGCATGCATGCATCCGTACATGCATACACACGTACGTGTATGGTATGTACATGCATACATACGAACAAACAGGCATCCATACATACATACATACATACACATACATACATACATACATACATGCATACATGCATACATGCAAATGCGCATGCATACATACATACACATACATCCAGACATATATACGTACACACATACATATAGTCACACACCTACGTACATGAATGCATACATACATGCATAGATACATGCATCCATAACTACATACATACACACATGCATACGGACAGACATACATACGGACATACATACGTACGTACCCACATACACGTATACATACATACGCAGATCCATCCGTCTGTACATCCATTCATGCATGCATTCCTACCTGCCGACCTACCTACCTACATACATACACACATGCATACATGCATACATGCATACATACATACACACATACATACACACATGCATACACACACCAAACATACATAAAGACCAACATGCACACCTACATACATATATATACACGTGTTGGCAGACATGTGTAGATGCACGTATGCATATATGGATATGTGCATACATGTCTGCATGTATACATGTAGATATGCAGACATGTATAATGCACACATGCATACCTGCGTGCATTCATACATTTCATACATGCATGCATGCATGCATCCATGCATCCATCCATGCATGCATGCACCAACACGTACATCCACACATACACATACACATACCTGATATTCCCTTCCCCCCCGGGATCTGGGGACCCCTGGATCCGTGGCCCCAGGAGCCCCGTGGACGCCCCTGCACAAGATCCCCAGCATTTGCCGAGGCTCCTGGAAGCCCCTGCTGAGCCCAGGCAACGGGCCTCAATGGGTCAGGAGGGCGGCCGATCTGCCCCGCGAGATCCGCAAGAGGCCGCAGACACCCACCAGACGCCCGAAGACGACCCAAAGAGGACTTCGAAGATGCCTTCGAAGTGCAAGAAGTAATGATGTCCCACAACTGTTGTACAGTCATCGGCCTGACCTAAGGAACGATGAATAAGGGACGAAGCCCCGTGTTTCCAAGGAGTAACGCACAAGGAACGATAAACAAGCCATAACGAATAAGGAACGAAACATGACGCATGCAAGCCTGAGGAACGACCGAGCCCCTTTTGAAAAGCAAGTGCTCCTCATTCAAGCCACTCACGGTCTGATTCTGAGTGTGCTCTGTTCTTCGGCCTTCCGGTCTTCCGGACACCGCCCCGAAACTACCCGGAAAGGAGGCTCCCGGGCAGTCGAAGAGAGCCCCAAGACGAGGAGAACAAAATGTTTTGATCTGCGGGGCGAGAGCGAACCTCTTCTGCTAAAAGCTAGGCGGGCTACGCACAGCTTTAATTAGGGAGACAGGGCACAGGAAGGCGGGGCCTCAAGCGGCCGGAGCGGGCGGGGCCCGGGGTGCAGGCGGTGCCGAAGTGGATGTGCAGGAGAAGGTACGCCGCGGACAGGGACCGAGGGCGAAAGACGAGGGGAACAAAAAAGTGACAGAAACAGAAAAACTCGGAGGTCCGCGCGGTTTTCTCGGATCGGCGCTGGACCCCCCTCGGCCCCAGGATGGCCCGAAGAGAGCCCCTATGACGGCTGAGGATGGCCCCAAGACGCTCCCCGACGCATTCCAAATCGTGACCCAGGCGTTCAGGGAAACCGCGGTTGGACGCTGGATGGCCCGAGGAAGCTTCCAGAGGCCCCCAGAAGGAACCCAGGAGGCCTCCAGAAGGCCCCAAGTAGCCCGTCAACACTTTCGTGAGGCCCCAAAGTGGCTCTCCAAGGAGCAGCCTGCGCAAAAAAGGCTAAGGAGGATGGGGACAAATTCGAAGGGTAGGGCGAGAACGAAGAAGAGCAAAAGGAAGCACGAGGAAAAAAACATACCATTATCATTACGACGACGTCGGAAGAGGCAGCAACACATTAAAATTGACGTTACAGTTTTACATTCCTGCCCTTCTGCTGCACGACAAACAAGACGGACTAAGGTGCAATATTGTATATACATACAGTGCGTGGCTTGCGTCCGCGAGAGTGCGAGGGTGTCCAGATGGTGAAACACATTTCCTTAGGCAACCAGTGGGGGAGCTACGAGCTGCCTGGAGGTTGACCCAGGCAAGTGAGCCGTGGCTGCCAGCTCAATGGATGAGGCTGACTGGGCGCTTTCAGCGGGATGCGCTGCAAGCAAGCGCAATGTTGGCACTGGCCGAGAATGGACCATACTGGTTCTGATGCGGTCGGGTAGGCATGATGCTGCTCGTCTAAGTTGGGCCACACCCTGTGGCCACCTGGTTGCTACGCAAGCGATGTGCTCTGTTAAACTGACTAGCGCAAGGTCGCCTGACGATTGTACATTGTCGGCTCGTTGTTGCTTGAGATGTGATTGCGGTGCTTTGCATCGTGGTTGTGTATTGCGGAGTGGATGCGCGGTGCTGTCGGTGTTGGTCCCTGGCCGTTCAGGCTGGCATTAGCCAACTTACTGCTGCTGTGTGCCATCCTGCTGTTCACAGCGTCGCTGTCGTTGCTTGCCGCGATCCTCGTTGCGTTTCTCGTCTGGTGTAGTTGTCGCGGCTGACCTGGTTGTCCCGCCAGACGAACGAACGGCTCGCACATGTCGCACGATATTTCTCCCCGTGATAAGCGAGTGACTGGTCGGTGTGCGCGCTGAGTGATCGATCCAGTGGGAGCGGGGCATTGGTTCTCGATTCATTGACGTGTTCTGTAGTATTGATCGGTGTGTGAGCTGTGTATAAGTGACTGGTGTTCGTCGCTGCTGTATGTAGCGCTAGCTGGCGCTGCGCTGCTAGTGTAACTGACAATGCTGATTCACGTGCGCACACGTATGGTACAATGCCGCTGCTAGTCGACGAACGTGAAGGTCCTTGGTCAGTGTAGACGTACGCTGGCAGCTGTTGGAATTGGGCT